AATCATGTCAAGATAGGAGTCAGTGTATTATGAAAGAACTATATTTGAAATTATTTCCAAACAGAAGCTGATTACACTCGAGTCGAACTGTTTTTCTAAAAGGAAAAGACAGGTGCATGGAGTTGACTCAGATTGCTTATCAGAATGGCGATATTATCTTCCTGGGGCCGGAGGGGCAGGATGGTGGCAGGAGGTGTGTGGCTGATATGCAATTAATAATTCAAATCGGCACAGGGCGCTATTCTGCAGGGCACCCTGCCCCCCTGGTAACTTATCAATAAAATATTTGGTTCAGTTGTTTGGAGCCCACAGCTCATCTGAGAGCAACATTCTCACTTGGAAATGCTGGTTGGCACAGGAAGCAGAGCATCAGAAAAGCCTGTGGGTCTGGAATAAAAATGTCAGGGGAGGAAATGAGTCTCCGACACCCCTTCTCTTACTGCATCCAAAAGGGGAGCCTTGAAATCTGGGTCAGCAGTGGTGACTGCATCGCTGGGAAAATTCTGCCTCAGGGGGCAGGGGGGAGCACCATGCACCATGTTGAGCCGGCCCCTTCTGCGAGGTGTCCACCTGCATCCCGGGAGTGGTCCAGACACTCTGGCTCAGGATGCAGTCTCCAAGGGTCCAGTGAAATCCTTTGCATGCCTTTAAGGCAATATACATGCTTTACTTTTGCTGAATTATCCATTTTTTCATGATTAAAGTAACATATACTCCTTAAAGCAAATTTTGTAAATGTGGACAAATAACCAAGATTTAAAGACGAAGGCAAAGGACAAATGCCCATTATTTCAGAAAAGCCGTCATGTGTAATAATAGCAACAAGCTATATTGGGTGGGGCAGAGGGCCAAGCTGCTGGGAGATGAGACGCGTTGTTGCTTGTCATCCATACAGCAGCTTTGTGAGGCATGTGGGTGCACAATCGTTTATCGACACTTCAAATTCCACGATGCTCTAAAAGCTGACGTTTGTTTTATAACGAATTTGGGGGCAAAACATGCCCTGAAATGGGTCCTATTTACAGACTCCAGTTGTGCCACTTGGTGTGAATATTCATGTATTGTGAGAACATTTTTATTAACAGATTTAATTACTGAGCATTGCCTCAGACCCTTTGGGGATGTTCTCTAGTATATGATATTTTAACCATACTTCTCAAACCTGAGAACTTCAAAATTCTACACAGCGGCTTCCATGACTATCCCCATGTGGCATATGAAGAATTTTTGGTGCACAGTTTATGCCTGACCCAATACTGAACCACTGACAAGTGGGGGATTCGAACCATGGTCTGCGCACCTCGAGGAACTGAGCTCAGAACTCTCAACCCAGAGTGTCGGGACCTTTTCCACATCACACCCCACGAAAGAGTGAGAAGCTGTCTGACCTCCTGGTGGGGAGCTGGGGAGGCTGTTTAGGATCAGGGCCAGTGATGCCGGGCTGTTCTGCCCACTGCCATTCCAGAGTTCTGCCCTGGTTCACCCATCTTTTTAGCCTGCAGGCTGTTGGCACAGAGTCTGCTCACACTTTCAACTCTCATTTAATGAATATTACGTACCCACCGAAAGGCTGGGAAGTGGTGCTTCAGGGCAGGACTCTGGAATGAGAGCTCCTGGGTTTGAAAGCTACCGCCCCTATTTTCCAGTTCTAAGATCTTACCAGGAGAGTTGCTCAGATCTCTGAGCCTCAGCTTCTTCATCTGTGAAATGGTGATGATAACTCAGTCCTAACTTCCAACTGAGGGCAGCTACGCTCACATGGTCCTTAAGAAGGAGGGGACGCAGTGGAGCTGGTGTGGGGCATTTCTGAGTTCCGGGTCATCTGCCTGACTTTATGGGAGTGCAGAATGGGAGGCAGCAGGTCCTCAGACCCAGCCCTTGGAGGAATGCCTTACGTCTTCTCTAAGACGGACTGTACTCATCTCACGGGAAGCTGTGCGTCACTCACACAGGCTGAAAAATGCGGGTGGGGGTGACCGGAATCAGCACCCGGAAGATGTCAAGACTGTCAAGAATACAGAGCTATTGAGAAAGCCCCTCTATTGGGCCTGAACATATGGAGACTAAGCAGTCCCTATTCTGTGTTTCTCTTTGTATGTTCCCTCTGCCAGAGTTTACACTTGGCATTAATAAGATCAAACCTAAAATTTCACAAGCAGAATTCAGTGGGGAAAACATCAGGTTGGAGTCCCTGGCTGGAATATTATGCCAGGTTTGTTTCTGAGTTATACCAGGTTCCTAGAAATCACATGACATTTGAAGTTCTTCTAATAAATGAGATGAACAGACCAAGAAGTAGGCAAACAGAAAACATTATCTCTAATGTCAGGAAGACTGCCTTTCTTCACCGCCCCCTCCAGCCTTATACAAGGCCCAAGAAGAGGTGTGATTCCTAGTTCGTCAACCACAGGCCAGGTTCCTGGCTCTGTTTCTTGCGCTTTACCCTTTATGGGAAGACTGGGTACCATGGAATGGGCTGACCCAGGGGCAGGGACTCAGTGCTTTGGGGCTGTATAGGAGCAGATGGCCAGATGCCCACCTGGCAGGGTTCTTGTTGATCCAGTGAAGATTCTCGGCACCATCTTGCCCCCTTGCTCCTCTGTTTGAGAGAGCCCGGAAGGAAGCCACACCTCCCAGACTCAGGATGGGGTCCCCATCACCTCCATCTGTTTCACTTCAGGCCTTGTCATCACTGAGCCGGGGGCAGGTTCTGGGTGAAGCTTGACAGCAGCAGCCCCACCATCACCCCCAAATTGGCAGCATCCACAAGCCTGGGGCTGGCCTGATGCTTACTACCTTGGTTTCTTCCCAGTTACCTTGCTTAGGACCATATTCTGCTTCTAGTCCAGGGACTCTGTCCTAAGTCCTAGCTCAGAGTTTAGGGATAACATCTATGCTTGGTAAACTCTCTCCCTGGGGCTGAATCCACCTCCCCACAGCCTGTCTGCTTCCCGGGGCCTCTGCTGAACATGCCATAGATTCCAGAAGGACCCTGCGCTGTGGATCAGACCAAAATTTGATGGCCCACATCAAGTTTCCTCTGTCTTTGGGATGCCGTGCTGTCAGAGTCTGATGGCCATCAGAGGCTGGACTCATTGCTGGCACGTTTGCCGAGTCCCCAGCCCACCTGAACTCAGCTTCCCCCCTCTTTCCTGTGGTTCCAAGTCTCAGGACGCGCTGAGCTTGACTTTGTTTAAATGTCCTCAGCAGTTTGCACTGAATAAACCTGGAGGCTTTCTCGGTCTGCAGAGGTAATAATGAAGCCTGGTGTTTGGAAGGCTTTACAGTTGACAAAGGTTTTCACCTGATACCCTCTTCTCACTCTATTGGGACCTCGTGTATTTCTTTGATACCTGTATAGTTTCTGAGAGCAAAGGTCATTCCAAACATGGCTCGGCGTTCAAGCCCCTTTCCCCACTCCCCTGCTTTGTGCTTCGCTGGATACCATAGTCTCTCTTCTGCCAGGGGGGTTCTCACCTGAGATATATCAGGTAGGTATTTCCTTGAGAGCGTGTGCACTGGACCTAAGTTTCTTCTAAATGGCCTGCTGTTAAGAGTCAAGAATTTAGAGAATGGTTGGGATTTCATACTTCTCCTCCCATTACTTCAACCTTGTACATTCCTCCAACACAGAACTTACCAGAGTAGCTCAGTGTTTGCAAAGATGGACTTAGATGAGTGTAGATTCTTAGGGAAGAGATAATGCATCTCACTACATTTCGTTTTCCTTTTAGTAGTGGACACAGGAAGAGCCCTTTCCCTAACGTCCCCTGTAGTGAGTGGGGCCAGTGACTGAGCTATGGCAAGAATATGCCACCTCCAGGCTGGGTGCCTAAGACCTTCTGAGCGACGCCCCTTCCTTCCTGTCTTCTCATCAGCTGGCTGGACATAGAGGACCAAGCAGAGTGCTCTATGTCCCCAGTGGCAGGAGGTTAAGTCCTGAAATCATGGCATGGAGCAACCCCCCCCACCCCGACTTGTCCAACAGGATGTGAATGAGAGAAATCTCTGTGTTTTAGCCACTAAGGTGGGAGTTACCTGTGACAGCGGTCAGTGTTGACTGACCGATAAGAGTTCTGATCCTAGTTCGGCAACTAACTACACCATCTGGGAAAAATCCTTTAATTTTCTGAGCTCTCTCACCTGCACGAAACTTTCCTGGGAGTCTTTGAGGTCAAGGGACAAAGAGGGCGTAGGATGCAATCTTCCCAGGAAAGGGTGTAATCCACCTGCAACCACTTCCCAGCCCATGACCTTGTCACTGTTCCTCCAACAGGTCGCATGGGCTTGATCCCACTTCTGGGCCTTTCCGATTCTTTCTGACTCCTTCACTTTTCTCCCAGCGTGCTTCTTTCTCATCGTTTAAAGCAAATCTTCAACACAAAGGCCTCAAAGAAGGCCTCTTTGTGGATTCCAGCTCAATAGCCTCCCTGACCCCCAATTCTTTATCCCCATTGTCCTACCCAATTTTCTTTATTGCTTCTACTCCTAACTGGAAGTAGACCATTTATGTATTGGTTTATAGGAATATGATCTATTATCCGCACCCTGAATGCTAGCTCTACGAGGGCAAGATTTTGCCAGGATTTCTCTGGAGCTTAGGAAAGCAGAGGCACATTGTAGATGCTCAATATATGCTGGTTGAAGGGACGTCCAAGGTACTGTGGGGATTACATGAGTTCATTATGTAAAGAGTTGGGCATTGGGCCCTGCACACCGCAGGAGCTCAATAAATGGCAGGTGTGTCGAATGTCTGTTTACACGTCCCTCTTTCACAGTCAGTTGTGAGCCTCTCAAGGTCAGGGACCGGACCTTATTTATCTGTGCTTCCCAAAGAACCTTGTACATAAGAGGTGGTCAATAAAGGTCTGTGATGGAAGAGAAACTCAACTCCTATCTTCAATTAGTATAGCCAAAGACCAATGAAACCATCCTTGTTCTAAAAAAAATTAAACCTTTTTATTAGTATATTTATTTTATATATAAAAGAAATACAAAAAAAGAAACACAAAGAAAATGCTTTTATGGCAAATCGGACTTGTCGGTGCCTTCAGCTTGGGCTCCAGGCTCTGGCCCGCTGGGTGTCAACAAAGTCCGCCGGTTGTAATGACCCTTGATAATCCCAGTGTTGTTGTTCTCGTTGAGGAGCTGCTTCTGCCTTTGCCTGTTGAGGGACTGGACAAGGCCCAGGACGACCGCGGCCAAGGAGTACTGCCCGGGCAGTCTTCTCGGGGGCAGGATGAATGGGTTGGGTTGGACTCTTCCCAGCAGAAAGTACGTCTTGATTTTTCCTTCCTGTTCACTGATGCCCTTCACATAGATCTCCCCTCGGTAGTCAAAGGCAAAGCCCTGGTCCTTCAGGATGAGATAGGTCTCCTCAGGGACTTGGATCCTGCCGCTGACCCCTGTGCTGTCCATTCGACTTGCTAGGTTCACGGTTTTGCCCCAAATGTCATACTGTGGTTTCTTAGCGCCGATAACGCCAGCTACCACCGAGCCGTGGCTGATGCCTGCAGGTGACCAAAGGAACAAGAGGTGAGAGAAGAGGGACATCACTGAGGTGGCTGCACCCAAGCCTGGGACAGTGACCAGCGAGGGGGCGGTCTCTGTGCTTAAACTGCAGGGCCCAGATCCCACCTCAGTTACTCATTACATGTGTGGCCTGTGTCCATTCCTTAGCCTACGTGGACCTCACTTTTCCCATCTTCAAAGTAGAAGATGAATCGAGATGATGGAAGTAAGGCCTTGGCATGGTGCCTGACAACCAGTGGGGGCTCGAGAGGAAATTATTATTATTCTCACATGGACACTGACTTATCGTGGCTGCTGGGACAGACAGAGCACTGGACCAGGAGTCAGGACATCCGGTGTCCTCCAGCCTCTTCTGGTACAGTACTCTGAGAGCTCGGGTAGAACTTTTCCTTCTCTGTCTGTGTCCAGGTCCTGAGCATCATTCCCTGGTCCATGGCAAAAACCTCCCACCCGGCCTCCCCGTCCCCTGCCTTGTCCTCTGCAGACCGTCCTTCACACCACTGCCAGAGCGGGAGGGCTCTTGCTGGGGTGCATCTGACCGAGTTCCAACCCACTTCAACACCACCATGGCTCCTTTGGCCTACAGGATGATGCCCATGCGCCTTGGAACCTGAGCCAAGGGCCTCTCGAATCTGGCTCTTGCCTGCTTTGTCAGCCTCCTTCACCACCACCTCCTTCACCACGTCACCTTTCTTTGCATTGTACCCACCCCGAAGTGCTAGAGTTGCCCTCACCTGCCGGCCATCAAGTACCTCTGTGCCTTTGTCCCTGCCCATCTCCCTGCTTGGACTATCATGTCTGCCCAATCCCACTGTTTATTTGGCAAATGCCTTTGAAGACAGTTTCAATGACTCCTCTTTCATGAAATGTAGGCTTCTTTTAGGAATAATAACATTTCACTAATCATGGTGGTGGGCATATATGTCTCCTTCTAGTAGACTTAGAATTTCTCATGTATTCTACCTGACTAGACACCTGCCCAGGACCAACACTGTTCCAGGCGTGGGGGAAATGGTGGAAAAGAAAAGAGACATAGCCCCAGCCCTCATGGAGCTTACCTTCTACTGGGGAGAGACAGAAACAAAAAAAAAGTAATGTATCAATGAATCATAAAGACTATAAAGAAAAACCAGTCGGGTTGGAGGGAGAGAGAGGTGGGAGGGGGCATTTTGGAGGAGATGGTGAGGGAAGGCCTTTCTAAGCAGACATCTGAAGACAGTGACAGGACAAGCCATGCAGATATCTGGGTTAGATCATTCCAGGCAGGGGGAAGAGCAAACCCCTCCCAGCCCCACACAAAATCAGAGAGAAGTGACTGAGAAATCGGAGAAGCGGACCTTTCAGACCGCGTGGGAGTTACAGGGATGGAGATCTCTCCGTGATTTGCAGAGCACTTACAGACATCACCCCATCTGATTCCACGTTACTACCGCAAGGTGGGGGCAGGGGCGGGGGGGGCATGGAGCGGAGGTAAATAATATCATGCCCAGCTTGCACATGAGGAAACTGACATTTGGAGGGTTTAAATGGCTTGTCCAACATCGTAGAGCCGGTCGCAGTGGACCCCAAACACAAACTGAGATGCCCAGCCAAGTCGGGAAAATGATCTTCTAACCTCTGAACGACGCCAGCACTCTGAGATTTCACACCAAGGGTCGGCCCCGACCCCAGCGACATCTCCTGGCTTTGTTCAGGGTTGATGTTCTGCTTTTTTAGTCCTGGTTCAAGTGTGTGGTCAATGATTTCAGAAAGGACACGTAGGGTTGATGGAACATGTGGGAACAAGCCCTGAACATCCCAGCCATAGATCCAAAACATAAAATAGGACTTCTTTTTATTTTGGTGAACAAAGGTTCCCGGCATTTGTTAGATCTGACAAGTCAGATATTGGCATTTCTTGACCCTTGTTTCTTGAAAGCTACTCAGGGAGACCTAAGTCAGTCAGATGACATGCTGGCCAGAGGATATCTAAAATCCGAACACCGCAGCGAAGGTTGTGTCAGCCTGCAGCCTGGCAGCCAGAACGTCGCTGGTCTGTCCTGACGTCCTGGAGCCCCCGCCCGAGCGGCCATTTGGCTGTGTGATCATAAGTCATCACTCCCCTTCTCGGGGCCTGAGTTGACCCACTAGAATGTGGACTAGAGCAGGGGGCCTTCACACCTTGCTGGAGGGGGCCTTGGAGAACCAGCAGGGATGCTGAAGACACTGACGGTTATACACATTATAAAAGGTCACTATTCACATTGCCATGGTTTCAGTTGCACTGTTGCGTTGCTCCAGGGTGTCTCTGAGCTCAAGGAAGGGTGAGCTGTGTGGCCAAGGAAGAGCCAAAAGGCTTTCTCTGTCCCTGAGCAACATAGCATCTGACATCCTTGGGACTCAAATCCTGCTTTTGTTTTAAGGCATTATCCAGAAGAACCAGGGAGCAGCACCCTGACCAACAGCATCAGATGACATGAAGTCGGAATGAAAGGACAGACGACTCAGCTCTCTCCCCCAACAGGGCCTTGTGTGCGTGGGGTACCGCACAAGGAACTTGGAAGAACAGTAGCTAGGGCGTAGTGTTTGCTGTGTCTTTCTGCACACGGGCCAGTGTCTCTCCCTGGCTTCCAGCACCCTGAGTGAGAAGAAGGCCAGACTGGCCTGAGCTGATGCTCCCTGTCCTTGGCAAGGTCACACTGAGCCTGCTGCTTTTCGCAGGAGAAAGCTACCCATGGCCCAGGGCATCGGGAGGGTCCGATGGAGCCAGGCCAGCCAGCTCTGTGGGGTCCCCCACTCGCCACACCTCTGGCGGCTACTCACCAATCCGGAGTTCGAAATTGTTGAAGGAATGCTTGTTGATCTCCTGTATGCTCTCAGTCAGGGCGAGGGAGAAGTCGGCCAGGGCGCACAAATGTCCCCACTTGTCTTCACATTGCTGGAGCAGAGGGGAGAGAAGAATTCATTCACTGTGGCGAACGTGAACCTTTCTGCAGCAGGGGCCTGTCCTACGCCCCAGCCCACCTGCGCGTCCCTGAGATGGAGATAACCAGGTATGTGAGAGCCCCTGTACACTCAAGTCAGCAGCGTCTCCGAAACGCGGGATGACGGGAGATGTGCTGAAGCGAGTGTAATATGTGTGGCTCATCATATTCCTTTCCCCACATCTACACTTGTCCTGTCGGGTTGATGCACCACACATTCCTGAGTACACTCACAGTGTGTATGTGTGTGTGTATGTGTATGTGTTTAAGTGCTAGGAAATCTGTATATTTCCTTTGAAGCGCTCACACCGGCTGTTCAAGGGATGTTTCATATAGACATTTGCTCACAGAACTCCTGACGGAAGAGCACAGTAAGCCTCTGGGCCTCTCTGAACCTCAACCTCCTCAATTATAAAATGGGGATTCACATATATGTGCTGCCTGCCTCCCAAAGATTGCATGAGATTGTGTATGTAAAAGCACTTTGTGCCCCTCCAGAGCACAGGTTGGTGAATCATGGTGGGCCAGATAGTAATATTTTAGGCTTTGTCATGGTTGCTCAACACCACCATTTTAGCTTGGAAGGAACCAAAGCTAAACTATGAATAAATGGGTATGGCTGTGTTCCAATAAAGTTTTATTGACAAAAACAGATGGTGGATCAGATTTGGCCGGCTGGTTGTACTCTGTGGACCCTGCTACAGAGCGCCATGCATGCTTCCAATGACTAGTGTGGGGGGTCTTCCCAGGGAGTTGCTCGTGGAATGTTTCTAGGTTTTTAGTTGGGAAGCAAGTGAAGGAAGGATGAGAGGAAGAAATGAGGATTCCTTCTTCCCAGTAACTTAGACTCATATCCATGTAGGCTTTTGCGTGGGAGCATGACACGGTCTCAGGTAACTCATCCACTAACGCTGGGAGGTAGATGCTAGTGTTCCTACTTGACAATAGTGCCTGGCCCACAGTCAGCCCTCAAAAGAGTGTGAGCTGTTATTCTTACATACTGTAAGAATAAGAAAACAGGCTGGCATCAGGGCTTTGATAACAGCTACATCTAAGTCATAGCCAGGGTATTTCTTGGCCCTGATTTTGTTCATCAAGTCAACAACGAGGTTCAGAATGGCACCTAGAGGTGTCTCAATCATAACGAAGCGTCGTTAAACCCAGGAGACCTTACTTCCCACGGGAGCAAATGTACATCACACAACTGGAATATCCAGTTCATCAGATTCTCTCCCCACCAGTCCGCATGCAGCCTGGTGACGGTAGCCTCACTGCCTTCAGCGACATGAGAACAGTGAGGTGCCTGCCACGTGGTGTGGCCGTGTGCAAGGAGTTGCTTTACCTGTTTTTCGGGGGACAGGCCTGACACGGCCATGTAGGTGCTGCCAATGGTCTTAATCTTTTCAATGTCCTGGAACCGGTCTTCGCCAAGCAGCTGAAATAGACCCAGGCAATGATATTAGTCCTGGTGTTTATTCTTCCAGAAGACGGGGTTGCTTTCCTGAAGAGGCCCCCGGCTCACAATGAGGACTACTTCTGCCTGGTTTAGCATCCTCAAGACAGCTACTTTTCTCTCTGAGAATCATGCCTTTAGGCAGTCAACGTACGTTTACTGAGCACCTGCTAAGTGCCAGGCGCTGCGATGGGTGCACCCAGATACTCTTTAAGGAGTAGATCTGTTTCAAAGTAGACTTCAAAGGAGTAGATCTGTTTTTATCTTTGAAATAAATGGTTATTTTATTGGTTCAAAAAAGAAATCACAAATGTTCCCCAATCCGAGAACAAATCTTTTTTGGCTATACCTTCAACATGTATTTGGCATCTTAACACTTGCTGACAGCATCCCGGTCTGAGCCATTGTTGGCTTACACCTGGTTGTTGTACCACCATGACCTACCTACTCCCTCCCTCACCCCCACACTCCTAGCCCGGCAGCCAGAGAGATCCCATTCCACGGCAAGTCAGATCATGTCCCCACTCTGTGCAAAACCCTCCTGTGGCTTCCCATTCTACTCCCCCCAACAGATGTCCACGTCCTAATCCTTGGAACCCGTGGATATGTTACCTTTCATGGCAGAAAGGACTTTGTAGATGTGATGAAGCTAATAATCCTAAAATGGAGCGATTCCCTAGATTAGCCGGGTGCGCTCCACGTAATAACAAGCATCCTTATAAGTGAAAGGAGGAGGCAGGAAAGGTGGAGAAAGCAATGTGAGGGCAGAAGCAGGAGTCAGAGGTGTGACTGCCGGCTCTAAAGATGGGGGAAGGAGCCACATGCCAAGGAATGCCGGTGGCCTTTAGAAGCTGCAATGACATGGATTCTCCCCTGGAGCCTCCAGAAGGAACACAGCCTCACTGACACCTTGATTTAACCTGTGAGATCCATTTTGGACTTCTGACCTCCAAACTGTAACATAATAAATTTCTGTTGTTTGGAGTCACTAAATTGGTGGTGATTTCACTTGATCTTAGCCAAAAGACCAAGAAGCGATTAAATTGGTGGTGATTTGTTACAGCAGCAGTAGTAACTAATACAGCAACTATCCATTGATCTTCTGCAATGTCTCATGAACAAGATGGGAGGTCCCAGCCATCAGAGGGTTGACAGCCCAGGCAGGGGAGGGACCACATGTTAAAGAAATAATCACACAAAAACGTCCCCTAGTTCAATTCTAGTAAAGTGCATGATGGAAACATACAGGGTGTAGGAACGAGGAGAATGGAGCATTTTGTTAACATCTGGAGGCTTCCCTGAGCAAGTGATTTCTAGCTTCACTTTTAAGAGCGAGGAAGGAAAGGTCTTTCAGCGGCGGGTGCTTGGCTTTGTGTGCTGGGAAGCTGGCGCCATGGAAAGGGTTGCGGGGAGCATCCGGACAGAGGGGACAACACGAATGAGGGCCGGAGGTTGGGGAGAATGCATGTTAGTTTCAAAGAAGTAAGAAGAGGGCTGTAGTTATTTTTCTCATCTTAAGAAAAGTCCTTGTGGGGCGCCTGGGTGGCTCAGTTGGTTAAGCGACTGCCTTCGGCTCAGGTCATGATCCTGGAGTCCCGGGATCGAGTCCCGCATCGGGCTCCCTGCTC